TTAGTCTTGAAATTCTCTCTTTCATATGTGGCACATAGAAAGATGGGGGAGCCAACAGGTTTCCTCTGTGCACTACTCATATTATGTCTTTTATTAAGGTCTCAAGACATCACTCTTCTCAAGTTGGTCACCAACGTGTTTGGGTAATCAGCTTAAGAGAAACCACACATGGCCAGGAGTGGTACTGCCTCTCTTCAAGACCAGATTTTGAGCTCTTGAAATATTTCTAGATGGACCTCACCTCATTGTGATTATTTCATTCTCTGTGCTTCTCAAGTAAACATTTATTTAGCCCTGTATGTTTAAGGGCAACCAGAAAGATAAATCAAATGGTTTCAAGGTGAATGCCCCTCCAAATTCCCTCGCTGCACACAGTCTTGACCTCTATACCTCCACTGACTTCACACTCCATGCCATCCCAGTTTCCCAGTTAGATGATATGGCAGCCCCATCCCAAACCTCACCATAATTGGAAAATGCTTGATTTTAAAATCTCAAACTCTAAAATGTACCTTTATCAAAATTTTCTGCTTTGTTTGGTTTGTTTGTTTTGTTTTGTTTTTACTGTGCAATTCACCAAATCTATTCTTGGTGACTTCTTGATCCTCAGGCCCTCCCAAGTTCATGAGTCCATCACCCTGGCTCCAAGTGTTTCCTACCACCACACCTCACTATTTTCTTCTCTTTCCAGTATAATTCCCAGACTTTGATTATTGATGATAGCTGCTATTTAAATGTGGTCTCCAACCCCACAAAGGCATCTACTTCTTGAGCCTCATGTTGATTTCTTGTCATAGTTCTCACAGCCACCTCATGATAACCTTTCTTGACACCCTCATATGGATATCATTTCTCCCTCTTCTGAACTCTCATAGCTTGTATTTGTTATGCCCTCATGGCTTCCATTGCTTTCTGACTCAGATAATAGTTGTGTGTCTAATTGTACTATTCCTCTTTGAAGTCTTTTAAGGTTTTTATTTCTTAATCATCTTTGTATTCCAGTGCCTGGCATCAAATAGAAGCTCAGTGACTGTTTCCTTAATCGAATAGCACAACTCTTCTACAAAGAAACTTAAAAAAATAAGAATAGCTTAATCAGATATCAACTGCAAAAGTTCAGAAATGGGTATTTTTATAGAGAAGCAAATGAAAATATGCAATGAGAGTATTAGCTTGCTGTTGCTGCATAATGAATTAGCTCAAATTTAGCAACATAAAGCAATAGACATATTATCTCAGTTCTGTAGATCGGAAGTCTGAACACCCAAACTGGGTTCTCTGCTTACTGTCTTCCTCCAGAACAGGGTAAGGAAGAATATTGGAATCCTTTAGCCCCACACACCTCTTCACACAAAATGTCACCCTTTTCTGCATTGTATGAAGTATGGAGGGAGGAGACTGTAATGTCCCTTTTGCTGGGAAAGAAATTGTTGCTTAGTTCAAAGACAAACTTTCTTATAGCAAGGATTTTCTTATCTTTATCCAAAGATAGAAGGGACTGACAAAGAAGTTGTGAACCCTCCACATGAAGAGATCTATTAGAGAGAAGAATTCCTATCCCTGGGGCACTAAGTAAAGCTGGGTGTATTCAGCCTCTCTCAGATATGCGTGCCCAAATATTTGAAGCGATAGTTCCAGCTGAAGTGGCAGTGATTGAGGGAAAAGGAGTATCCTGCGTGGACCACTGTGGGAGAGATGTTAACATTCCCTCTTCTTGAATGATACGTTTGTTTGCCTTGTCCCTCATCTGCTGCCTGTTTGCTAGGTCCCATCAGCAAATGTGAGCTGAGGTCCTGCTCCCTCATCTATCAGATGAGGGGCTTATAGCCAAGCTGTCATGATCCAATATTTGTGGCTATAAACTGAAAAGAGTTACACACACTCAAGTCAATATCATCACTATCACTAGCCAGATCCATCTACTGCCCGCCTTGTCCGTTAACTTCTCAGTTACTACAGGCTTGCAATGGATCTCCCTCTAATGGTTAACAAAAGTCTATCAGGATTTCACATTTTGGTGTCTCATCATTTAAAAATATACATATAGCCTAGCCAGTGTGGCTCAGTGGTTGAGCATCGACCTATGAACCAGGGGGTCATGGTTCGATTCCCAATCAGGGCACATGCCCAGGTTGCAGGCTCGATCCCCAATGTAGGGCATGCAGGAGACAGCCAATCAATGATTCTCTCCTGTCAGTGATGTTTCTATCTCTTTCTCCCTCTCCCTTCCTCTCTGAAATCAATAAAAAATATATTAAAATAAATAAATAATATACATATATAAAACATTGTTCCAACCCTAGCCAGTTTGGCTCAGTGGATAGAGCGCCAGCCCTGACAACTGAAAGGTCCCAGGTTCGATTCTGGTCAAGGGCACATGCCCGGGTTGTGGGCTCTATCACCAGTGGCAGACATGCAGGAGGCAGCAGATCCATGATTCTCTCTTATTGTGGATGTTTCTATCTCTCTCTCCCTCTTCCTTCCTCTTGAAATCAATAAAAATGTATTTTTAAAAAACACACAAATATATTATTAAAAACAAAACAAAACAAAAGTTCCATTTTACTTACCACTTCATATTAATTGGTTAATTTGATCATCTTTATAGCCATGCAATATAGTTCTGGCAATCCATATATAACTCTAATCAGTACAAGTCAAGCGGTACTGCAAATGCATAAAGAGAAATGCTATTAAGAAGAATGTAATACCCTTTGTAATACTTTTAGCAATAAAAAAAAAATCTTTCTAAAAAAAAAAAAAGAAGAAGAAACGTATGGTGAATCTCTTCGTTTCTACTTCTGACCAAAAGGGGCTGCTGGCCTCTCCTCCTCCTGAATTCTGCATTTGGCTCAGTCCTGTTCCAAGAACCTCTACTTGTTCATTAAGTGTCCTCTTGGTGAATGATCTATCTGGACCATGCCACAGCGCAACGGCTGAGGGAATTGCAAGAATCCTGACAATATTGATCAATTCTAACAGAATCTGAGGTCCGAGACTGTGTAGGGCTATGAAGTCAAACAAGGATGCAAGTTGACTAGGTTTGTTAGTTTAAGTGTATCGTTTTATTGTTGATATGAAGAAGGGAAGTTTGTTTTGTATATGATTACTTCCCTCAGGAACAGAGATGGGTTAGTGTTTCATTTGATTTTGATTTTCCAAGGAATTTTACCTCCATGGTTCACTTCCTTTTTCTCTTTCATTATCAAATCACAAAGGAACACCCACAATAGACATGGTGCCTTCCCATGAATGTCACCCTTGGTCCTATACACCTGCCCAGCCTCTTTTTTTTTTTTCTTAAACAGCTTTATTGAGGTATACTTCACATATTCTAAAATTTACCCTTTCAAAGCATATGATCCAGTAACTTTTTATCATATTAAGAATTTTGCAATCATTTCCACAACCTAATTTTGGAATAGTTTCATCAAAAGAAGCGCCATACCCACTAGCAGTCACTCCCATTCCTCTCCTCTCCTTCATTCCTAGGCAACCACTAATCTACTTTCTGTCTCTACAGATCTGCCTATCTGAAGGTTTAATTAAAATGGAATCATACAACATGTGGTCCTTTGTGCCTGCCTCTTTCACTTAAGTTAACCCTCTTGAAGCTGCTCTTGCATAGGAGTAGCCGTCCATCGATCCACTCCCCTGCATGCTCTCAGTTTAAGAAACTTAGGAACCTTTCCAAACCTCACTTTTATCTTCACTTTTAGACATCTACTTTCACTCACTGAAATAAAATATTAGGGCACTTATGCAAAATGGGATACAGGTATATATAGCATTATCTTCCACATTTAGAATATAAAAAAATTGAGATGTATAGTGATAAACAGTGCAAACAATCAGCAATCAGTGCTGATTAGGAGCTTTTAACCTATTCTCAGAATCCTAAAAGCTACTAAACCCCAGTCTCTTCTGCTAACACAGCAAAGAAAATACAACTTTTTTGATCTCCTTATCTCAGAGCCCTAACATTCTCAATCATGGTGCTCAGTTTTGTTAGCAGCTGAGAAACCCAGAACATCTACACTAATAATAAAATTAAGAGATGCAGACCATTTTCCCCTAGGACAATACCACATAAAGTACTCCTGTGTCTTTAAAAAGATGACTAATGCAAAAATGTTAATCATATGTAGGTACAGAAGGGGAAACACACAGTTTTGTCCAAGGGTCTGTCTAATTACTGAGTCTCTATCATGACTATTTAGTCTCTGATTCTTTGTCATTCATCATAAATTTCTGCACAGGGATATGTGCCCTACAGTGCCAGTTCCTAATTCCCTTTTCTAGTTACATAGTGAAGATGGAAGAACAAAGGTGATGCTATAGCAATAGCAGACAAAGAATTGTCTAGGGATCCCTAATGAGCCAATTTGTCAATCAAATATTAAATATGACAAACTGTAAGCATTCCTATTACAACAAATTTCTTTTTGCGTGAAGTTGACAAATCTTTGATCTGGTATGGTTACTTTGCTTTGAACAAACTCACAAGTGAAGAAATTAATCCATAAATCCCACCAATAAAAAATAGGTTAAGTAGGAGAACTAACACAATTATTTAGGCAATTCTTTTTTAAAAAAGATCTCTGTGTACTAATACCAATCTTTGCCCTACCTACAATGAGATGCTATGAGGAGGCTGGTTGGTCTCCTGACAGCCTTGATCAGTACTGACATCTGTGGTCCTTAAGGTAGTATATGTTAGGTAGGGATAGACTATTGAGGGTGATGGGGCACACCACCTCTACTAACTGCAAAAATACTTGTGGATTGCTTGGCCTATTGATGTATTAGGTCATAACTGATGCTGGATGACATATTGAGCTTCCAGATACTTCTCGTGCATTTTCCTGTCCCTGTGCCACTTGTGGGTTTCCATTAGAAGAGTGAGGAAACTGTAACTCAGCCCACAATTAGAAGAGCTGTAGTAGGTCAAGGTTTAGGTGACATTTTACTACACTGTACACTTGAAATAAATGTCATCATTAGTAACAGCAGAAGAAGATTCTCTTCTTCCATCTGTTTAGGGCACCTTTGATTTCCTTGTTCCTCAGGCTGTAGATCAATGGATTTAGCATAGGGATTACAACAGTGTATAATACTGATGCCAACTTGTTTTGACTCAGAGAATCGCCAGAATTAGGATACAGATAAACAAAGATACCTGAGCCAAAGAAGAGGGTCACTGCGGTCAGGTGAGAAGCACAGGTGTTGAAGGCTTTGGACTTGCCTTCAGCTGAAGTGATCTTCAGAATGGTGGCAACAATATAACCATAGGATATCATAATAATGAGGGCAGATGAGACCCCAAATATTACTGTGATCACAGACAACATGACTTGGAAAAAAAAGGTGTCAGAGCAGGATAGGATTAGCAGCTGGGGCAAGTCACAAAAGAAATGGTTGATGATGTTTGGCCCACAGAAATGCAGCTGAAGTAAGGCACACACTTGGATAGATGAGCCAAAGAATCCAGTTACACTAGATGCTGCCACTATCTGCACACAGAGGGTGGGGGACATGATGGTTGTGTAAAGCAGAGGATTACAAATGGCAGCATATCTGTCATAAGCCATGGCTGTCAGGAGACAGCATTCAGTCAGAGCCAGGCCAGAGAAGAAGAAGTATTGCATGGTGCACCCCATAAAAGAGATGAATTTGTGCTTCATGAAGAAGTCTGAGAGCATCCTGGGGACAGTAGTAGAAACATAGCATATGTCCAACAAGGACAAGTAACTGAGGAAAAAGTACATAGGTGTGTGCAGATTGGAGTTAGTCCTGATGAGAATGATGAGGCCCACATTCCAGGCCACTGTCATCAGGTAGATCCCTAGGAATATTGAAAAGAGGACAATGGTGAGCTTTGGAAATTCAGAGAATCCCAAGAGAATGAACTTTATAATCATTGTACTGTTCCTTCTCCCAGTCATTGCACTGGTGATCCTAGAATCTGTAGGCAGAGAAGAGAATAAATCTCTCAGTCAGTTGTTATCTCAATTTCTATTAAAATAAACGACCTTCTACCCACACTTAACATAGAGTCAAGAGAAATAGTGAGCCATTTTAGATGACACAACCCTGGGTAAATTTGCCTCTGAATAGCTCTAATGGTTTTACGAGTCAATTTTCCCACATATAAAAGAGGATAATTACACTTTTCATTACTAACCCATCAGATTCTTTAAACACAAAATAAAGTATATTGACATTTAAAAAAAACATTTAAACCGGTGCTTTGGAAATTTTAGGATATTAGTAATGGGGTTATAACTCCTGTGGAAAGCTTAGTGACTAAGAGCATGGCCTTAGATGTCATATGGCTGGTTTTGGATTGTGGCTCTGCTATCTGTGAGCTTTTTAACTCTGAAGAGATTATCTATGATCTTTCTGCCTGTTACTTTATCTGTAAAATAGGGATGACAATAACAATAGGACCTATCTCAGAGGGCTCTTTGAGGTTAAATTAGTTCCATTATATACAGTCCCTGCCATGCATATAGTATTGTATGAAGTGATGTCACTAAGGAATAGCTTCCTTTTTTAAAATATATATTTTTATTGTTGATAGTATTACAGATATCTCCCATTCCCCTCCTTTACCTCCCTCCTAGAAATAGCTTTCTAATACAATTTTGAAGCTCTCCTTTGGTTTGTGAAAAACTTAAAGTTTAAATGTTAAAGGGTTAAAGGGTTGGTCTTAGAGATAACATTATCAGACTATTGTTCATTTATTGTTACAAATCAATAAAAAATTTATAACTAAGAAACATAATTAAAAACCAATTATATATTTATAAACTATTAAGAAGTCAAATAATAAATTATAATAGAAATTATAAAACGTTTAAAACTTAAATATATTGAGACATACTATTTATCAGATCTTGTAGATTTTTTTAAAAAAATATATTCTATTGATTTTTACAGAGAGGATGGGAGAGAGAGAGTTAGGACATCGATGAGAGAGAAACATCGATCAGCTGCCTCCTGCACATCTCCTACTGGGGATGTGCCTGCAACCAAGGTACATGCCCTTGACAGGAATTGAACCTGGGACCTTTCAGTCCGCAGTCCGACGCTCTATCCACTGAGCCAAACCGGTTTCGGCAGATCTTGTAGATTTTTAATTGAAGTATAATTGACATATAAACATTATATAAGTTTAAAATGTACAATGTATTGATTTGATACATTTATATATTACAGTATGATTACCATCATAACTTTAGCTAACACCTCTATCATGTCACATAATTATTATTTCTTTTTTTGGTGAGAACACTTAACAAATCTTGTAGATTTAACTTAAAATGTATGTAGGGAGATACAGTTGTCTTAAGTGCATATAAAAGATTAAAGAAAACACATGATCTGATCATAATTCTTACAGAGGAAAGAACAAAAATTTTTATATTAAAGGCAGCCCCCACAGCTGCCTTCTGCTGGACCTGAATGTTGACTGCACTCTAGATATAATTTTAAAATAATACAAGAAAATCAAATTTGATTTTTGCTAGATCTGATGACACCAAGACAAAACAAAAAATTTTAAAACAATGAAAATGGGGATCCTGGAGATATTATAAAGGTAATAAGAGAATACTCTAAGCAATATTACATCAATAAATTTTAAAACTTAAATAAAATGTAAAAAATATAACTTGCCAAAACTGACTCAAGTAAGAATAGAAAATTTGAATATTCTATAAACACTAAAAAAATTTGAATCAGTAGTAAAAGTCTTCCCTTGAAGAAAACTTGAGGCCAAAATGGTTTTATCAACAAGTTGTACTGAGTATAAAAAGAAAACAATAAATCTAATCATACAAAAAATTTTCTGTACCTCATTTCTTAATCTGTAAGGGAAGAATGTTCATCATTTCATAGGGTTTTTGTGAAAACCTATTTTAGGATGGTATGTAAAGTATATAATAGAGTGCTCGTCACCTAGTAAGTTATCAAAAATGAGAATTATTATATTAATAATAAATAATAATGATTATATCATAAAGGTATTTTGCTAAATAAAAATCTTTTACAGGGGGAAAAATAGATCATTTGGTGGTTAAAATGTAGGGCTCCTTGACCCAGTTGGTGAGCTATCAGCAAATCTCCATGCCCTCTAATCCTCAATCCACCTACTTACTAATGCCTGAAATCCCATGTTAGATGGTTTTCTTTTCATTCAAATGCCTGGGGTTTTGTTAAAATTCAAAGAATCTCACTGGATAGAGGATATGGAGCATGGCTACTGTGAGAAAATGAAAAGATAAAATGGTCATCAAACCTGAATATATGAGCTTGCTGGTTTGAGGGCATAGAAGAACAGGATTGCAAGAGTGAAAGAGAAGCCAAATATAAAGAAAGAAAGCTATTTCTATTTTACTCACCCAGGTATTCTTGTAGATATTCCAACAGGTGTCTTGTAGAAATCTGGGAGGTGCTGCCCCCACAGCTGCCTTCTGCTGGACCTGAATGTTGACTGCACTCTAGATATCTAAATGTGCATAGAGTTATTCCAGGAATTAGAGGATATAGACATCATATGAGCATTCAGGATGAAGACATTTACTTCCCCTAGGCTCTGGGCTTTTTGGCCATGGTTCCTGCTAGCCATTGCTGCGAGAGAGGTACTTCCAAATAAGAATTCTCTTAAGTGTCTCCTTGGGGTCCAGTGTGGAAAGAGAAGAGACAATTAACAGAAAGCACCATTTTCAGTTAATTACTCTCTAGAGTGATGGATGGAGAAAATGAGAAATGCTCCCAGCTGATTCCATTTCTCCACACTTTCATGTGCCCTCATGACCTAATTGAAGCAAGTTCCAATTTTCCTTTCTAGACTTTCAGTATTATGACATCTGGGAGGAACTCTCAACACAGGGTGATCATATCATTCATTATCCAAACTCAACAACTTTGGTCATGAAAAGGAGAGTTATTAATAACCATGTCAGGACAATAAGAAAAATTGTCCCAAGCAAACCAGGTTGTATGGTCACCCAAAATTTAAGGTCTTTATCAGAACAATCATTCATTATGGTTTTGGTGATTATGTGCTCAGGCTCTGGACAGACTTACCTGAGTTGAATTCTATCTTACTTAGTTATGAGTTCTGTGACCCTGACTTTTTACTTCATCTCACTGTGCCTTGGTATTTATTAAAATGAAGGCAATAATAGCACAACTACCTAAAAGGGTTGTGGTGAACTTAAATAAAATAATACCTGCCCAGTGCTTGGAAGTACTTAATTCATGTTATAAAATTGTTTTTACTAATATAATGATTGTAATATCTCCATTTTCTGTTCATACTAGAGGCCCAGTGCACAAAATTCATGCACTCGGGTGGTCCCTCAGCCCGGCCTGCACCCCCTCGTAGTCCAGGAGCCCTCAGGGGATGTCTGACTGATAGCTTAGGCCTGCTCCCCACAGGAGCCTGGCTTCTCGGTGAGCAACGCTCCCTCTGTGGGAGCGCACTGACCACCAGGGGGCAGCTTCTGCATTGAGCATCTGCCCCCTGGTGGTCAGTAAGCATCACAGCAAGTGTCGTTCTGCCATTTGGTTGATTTGCATATTACCCGTTTATTATATAGGATTTTTACCAAACTGGGATCATATTAGTATCTTCACCAATTGGGACTGAATCTTTGAGGGATTCCTAGCAGTCTCTCAATAATGTGCTATAGTTCTTCTTGGCTTGGAAACATGTAAACTAAATAAGTTATGTTTCCACACACCCAATATATAATGCTTACAGGTTAACAGCAATAAACACACATCTTTAGAAAGTGAAAGAGTCCCTAACACATTTTATGAGATCAATATTTCCCTGATACCAAAGAAAGAAAGGAAACTACAATCAATAAAACTCTAGCTCGATATCCCTCATGAATATAGATGCAAAAATTCTCAGCAAAATATAAGCAAATCGAATTCAACAATGCATTAAAAGTATTATGCACCATTATCAACTGGGATTTATCCTTGGGATGCAAAAAGGGTTCAACAGCCTGGCATGGGTGGCTCAGTGGTGGAACATTGACCTATGAACCAGGAAGTCATGGTTTGATTCCCAGTCAGGTCACATGCACACGTTGTGGGCTCAATTCCCAGTATGGGGTGTGCAAGAGGCAGCCAATCAATGATTCTCTCTCATCATTGATGTTTATATTTCTCTCTCCTTCTCCCTTCTTCCTTGAAATCAAAAAAAATATTTTTAAATGTTTCAACAAACACAAATCAATAAATGTGATAACTCATTGATAAATTACAAGTAAAAATCACATGATCATCTCAATAGAGTAGAAAAACCATTTGACAACACACAACATTCCTTCATGATAAAAACTCTCAATAACTTGTGGATAAAAGAAACATATCTCAACATAATAAAGGCAATATATGACAAACCCACTGCTGACATCATACTCAATAGGAAAAGACACAGATATTTTCCTCTAAAATCTGGAACAAATTAAGGATAACCACTCCCACCACTCTTATTCAACATAGAACTAGAGCAATAAGGCGAGATAATGAAATAAGAGGCATCCAAATTGGAGAAAAAAGAAGTAAAATTATGTATTTGCATGTGGTGATTTTATATATATATATATATATATATTATCCTAAACACTTCACCAAAGCTGTTAGAATTAGACAGTAAATTCAGTAAAGTTGCAAAGTATAAAATCAACATAGAGAAATTAGTTGCGTTTCCAAACACTAACAACAAAACATCTGAAAAAGAAATAAAGAAAACGATCCCTTCGCAAGGTACCCATTGGTCTAAATGTTCTTCAGGTGAAAGTCTGAATAACTGTGTTTTATTTTCCCCATTTTTTTTCTTTAAAATAGTACTTTAATGGCATTTATTATCAGTAGCTCTAGCTAATTGTTCTCAACAGAAGCCCATGGAGACAGTTCCTGG